TCCGAAGCCAAGGCGCCGGGCTGGGCAAAACTACCGACCTTCATGAACCTCGTCAAGACCTCCTGGGTGTCTCGCTTGCGGACGTCGACATCGGTAGCCGGGTCAAAGTACCTTCCCCCGCTGACTTTACCGCCGTTGCGCCCATTCGAAGGATCGTCACGAGTCGGCGGGAGGACCGGCACACCTTCGCGCGTCTTGGCGTCGGTCACTTGATTCTGCGCCCACGACGTTCGGCGGGCGTGTCCCGGAGCTTGTCCTTGGCCTTGGTGTCCCGGCTGACCGGATCCAACGGGGAAGGGGACTCGGCGGGCGTACGGGTTGACTTCCGGCGGGGTCGTACGTCCTCCTGCAGCCCGGGCGTTCTCCGAAGAAGACTGCCGCGAGATCCGCTTCTGCGGGCCGCCGGTGACAGACGCTCGGGCCGCGGCATAGGAACCCGGAGTGGGCGTGTCGGCGCCGGAACTCGACAGTTCAAAGGTCTTGACGGTCGGGCTAGGCCCACCGCCCGGGATAGCTTGGACCTTGGCATCGTGCAGTTTCGGCGATTCGGTTTGGACTGTGCGATCGCGGTAATTGACATTGCCGTAACCCGACGAGGCATGGTGTTGCCCGTGAGACCCTCGCCTGAACTCTCCAAGAGCGACCCGGGGCGATACTCCAGCCTTTTCATCTTCAGACGACGCCTCGTCTTCATCGTCCCCATCGCCCGAGGCGTTCGACCTTCGGTCTAGGGATATCTCCCGTTTTCTCGTCGATTTCTTCTCAGACGGTGTAGGCGGGACAGACTGGATAGCGACTGGATCATTATTGACGGTACGTCTAATGCCCAGACCGCCTGGGGGCGCCTTTCGCCCGGTGATCTGGGAGACGTATCGCTGGATGCTGGGCATAGAATCCCACGCATTGGTGTAACTCGCCATGGCGTCGGCCATGGAGCGGTGCACGGGCGGGGGAGGAGGAGGCGGGGACTCTCGTCCCGGTGGTGTAGATGGCTGCGCGGTGACAGAGGGCTGAGCGAGATGTAGTTGTGGTTGCGGTTGGGCAGGCGGGGGGGATTCGCCACGAGGGAACACCCGATCGGGTTTGCGGTGTTGATAACCAGGCTGTTCCCATGGGAAGACGGCTTTGATGTTCTTCTTGTCTGGGACTTTACCGTGATAGTCCTTGTACCATGTATCGCCCGTGACGGATTCGGGAAGGGTAGGGTATTGCGGTTCAGATTGCTGTTGCTGATGGAAATACGACTTGTGCTGCGACGGCGCCTGTTCCCATGCGGGTGCATAGTACGCGTCCATCTTGATGGCCATCTCCGGCTTGCCTTCCTTGGGCGGGGAGTATCGCTGAGCGTCCCAGGTCGCTGGCTGGGACGTTTGCTGCTGCAAAGTCTGGGGTAGTGGGGCGACAGGCTGAATGGGCGAGGTGATGGCGGTAGGGGAAGTCGGGACTGGGTCACTAGTTGGAGACGGGTCTTTCGGTCTCGGTCGAGGCATGATAAGGTCGACACGACCTTCAAGGGGCAAGGACATGTACTGGCCAGGTTTGATCGCTGAGACGCCGCTCCCAGCCGCCGTCTTCAATTGATCCAAATCAAGCCGGTCTTCCGGTTGAGCCGGGATCCCGGTTGCGAGGTTCCACACAGCGACATGCTCCGGGACGGCAAAGCGATGAGCGAGATCAGGCGAATGAGCTGCAGTTGGCCGGACGTTTCGGTCGTAAACCTCGTACCACCGGTCGATGAGGGCCGGGTCTGCAGCGGTCAGCAGGCAAGTCTGGCGCAGGTGCGAGACGGCTTACAGTCATACGACTCTTCCTTCTTGTTGGTCAAGGACATGCCGGCAGGACGGCCGAGGAGGTTCTGCCAGGGTTTGTTGGGTCCAATAAAGTGCACAGCGTTGATCTTGTGCCCATACCGTTTATACGCCGGAGCGTAGGTGTACGCTGCGGACGGCGTGACGTTGTAGCTACAGTCAGCGTCGAGCTCTAAGAGGCACTGTCAGAGTCCTCGGACTCCCCCAGCAAGACGCAATGGGGAGCGGCATGAAAGGGAGGAAGCCCTGGCGACTCACGTGAAAGACAACCGGTTCCAAGGCCCTCCTCCGCCTTCTTCCGAGAACCACTCGTTGAGCAGTCCTTGATCGGCCCCGTCAAAGCTTCCATTGCCCTCGACGAAAATCCCATCCTCTCCTTCACCGTTCTTCAACAAGGTCCTCAACCCCTCCCAGTCCGACTCTCGAGGTCGGATCACCATCACACCCGAGTTGAAACAATCGGGCCATCCCGTGTCCGGGCATGCGGAGATGACGTGCGGGCTCGTCGTTGTGAAGAGGTGAGCGAGCGGGCGAAGGGGCAAGACGTCGGCGTCGAGGTAGATGATCTTGGAGAAGAGAGTGTGGAGTCGGAAGATGTGCAATTTGGTGAGCGCATAGTTGAGGTCGGGCCGGCCTGGATATCAGCACCGGTTGTCCTTTAGTCGGTGAGGCGGGATGAGTTGCGCTCATGGGCCAGTGGTGCGCGGAGCAGGGCAGATCCTGTGACCAAAGCGCATGTAGAGTGCATGGGGACCTCTTCACTCACCCATAAGGCGCAGGCCGTTTTCACCGCCGGATCCGCTGCCGATAGGTTCCACCCCAATGACCAGATCCCACCCGGCCTTCCTCAACGCTCCAATGGTCTTGGCGTCGACGGTCTCGGGCGTCACGAGGCATACCGTTTTGAAGTCCCTCGACTTTTCCGGGTGCAGCTCAAGTAGGGAGTGCAGGAGGACGAGGGCTCCGGGGAGGTAGGACGGGGAGGTGAGGAGGGTGACAAAAGCGTTGGGCAACATGGTGTGTACCCCTGTGGTCTGGTGATACAGAACCGCGCTGGTTTGGTTAGTCGCGCGCGGGAGGACGGCGTGGTCGAGGGGGAGGAGATTGAGGGGATGAGTCGAACAAGGGAAGAGGGAGAAGAGGGGTTGGATGGAAGAGGCCGAGGTTTGGATGAATGAACCTCGTTCGTACGTACGAGGGGTTTTGGATTATACCGCAATCGGACCGGAGGTTTATTAAATATCTAATCCCAATCAACCTATAGGGAAACGACCTCGGCTGACGACGACGAGGATGGGGACGACGATCACGACGATTATAGTTATTTCTTGACCATTGACCAAGAGACAAGGTTGATGTTTACAATGAACCCGGGATGGGGGATTGTGACTCTGGTGGTGGACTATTGACGGATGACCTGGTGGTGGTAGTGGTGGTGGTTTCTGGTTGATAGCGGTAGGACGGTTGAATGTAAACCCCTTATGGCTGACCCTAATAAGGGTCAAATAAACCTCCCCCTCCCCCTCCTCCGCCCCTTTGGTCTTTGACCCTGACCACCTCCTCCCCCCCCCGTCCCTTAGTGGGTAGCCCACTTTGCCCCATAGATCACACGCACGGGAGAAAGAACAATGTCAACAACGAATCGGACATAGGTCTCTTATGCATCCAAGGGGAAAATTGCCATCTGGTCGTATGCAGACCAATCGTGACTTTGACGCCTACCTCGCGCTCGGTGGAACCAAGTCTCCCGAACCAAAACCTCTCCCCGCCTCGACGACCGGCCGTCGGATCAGGGACCGGGCGTCCGGGACACCCGGTTCCACAGTCAACAATGACGTTCGGAGCTTTGGGGATGGCGGCGGGGTCCCATCGAGTGTCGTCCTCGACCGTCAGTGTGACCGGTGCATGCAAGTAAGGTATGGTATTCGAGTGGATCGGGTATCATACAGGCCCTCGCCCAGCAGTCTTGTCGACGTGGTATGCAGTATGCAATGGTATAAGCGGAAAGCACCCCGTTCGTCGATCACCCCACCCGTGCTTGGCGTGTGCGGCCCCCTCTTTGAGAAGCGGGGTCCAGGTCGATCTTTACGGCGCATGCGAGGGGTAACAACATATGGCTCGGGGTGCACTTGCTGAACCGTCCCTCGGCAACCAGTGCGGATGACAACTCCACACACCGGTGTAAAGCCGAGCCACAGCAGAAGGGGGGCGCGCTTGGGAGTCGCCCCCCGGCGGAGAAGGTACGCTGCGCACAGATATACCGCTCACGTACTCACGGGCATGAATGGCCTCAGACTGACTACGGACTCGTCCCATAAAGTCTGTACCATTGTGGACCTCTTTTGACGGGGGGTATGGACGGCTCTGCACAAAGTCAAAGTCTCGCAGGGGGCGGCAATACGTTCTCACAGAGAATGGAGCGGATGTCTGTTGCGGAAACCTCGCACCTCCGCGCACTTCACACGACGCAGATGCACCTAGGGCTCGTCTGGACCTCCTCCCCACCGTACGTGCCGCCCCGTACAGACTTGTTGGCCAATGCGTCGAGTCGGGAACGCGAGTCGCCGCACTGGTCCCCTTTGGCAAGTGAAGCACCGCAGGTACTTCACGAGGCAAAAGACGGCAAAAGGCGGTCAGACCGAGCAGGGCTCACTCCTGGCCGTCACACCATCCGTGAGTGCTGGAGTGAGACGGGGGATGGAGGAGGCTCGCTTCATGCTTAGACGATGCCTTAACCCAAGGCATCGAATAGTTTGGACAGCCTCGATCCAGAAACACTCAGTATGAAAGATGATCACCCGTCTCACTCGTCTTCGCTCCGAAGCCCACGCGGGAGGTTCCCGCTCATGCACCTCAATCACCTCGAACCTCCCAAGATCCCTTGCTGGTCATGCGTGTGCATGGCCGTACTTGGCGACTCGGTCAAAGAAGGCGATGGGAACAGAGACAAATGAGCGGACAAATGCCACGCTCGCAACTTTTCCGATGGGTGGAGGGACGAGTGGCGAAAATCACTGCAGTCGAATGCGGAAAAAAGGCTCAAATCCGCTCAGGCGCTGTACCCTTGCACACAGACCCATTGTGCACCATCACGGGGTCTTTTGAAACGCAAAGGAAACGGGTGAAGAACGATATCAAAGGCTGCTCCGCAGTCGGGTCATAAGCATGCAAATGGTGCCATTTGGTGATACATCTCTGGTAGCTCAGTGGTTTAGAGTTGTGTGCTTATGAGGTTTTTAACCGGCGGTCATTACCGTACTCACACCGGTCGAGAGTTCAATCCTCTTCCAGAGAAACTTTTTTGACCGGTTTTTTTTTTTTTTTTTTGGGTTTTTGGGTTTTTTTCTCTTGCGCACACGACGGCGCCGCCTTGATTTCTTTCCTGCGCGGAGCGCAACTTGCGACCATGGAGCGATGAAAAAGGTGCGTTCGACCCCACCATCCGAATGACTTTTCCAAACCACTCAACTCTGTCCAAAAGATGCAAATACATGTTCCACCTGCGCAACTGTTTTATTCCACATTGATCTTTCCCTTGTCTCCCTGGATAACCAAAGGATGTTCTTCTCTGAAACACTTGAGGCATCAGGAAAAAGCATGGCAGGGTGCCACACTGCCACACTGCCAAGTCAGTGAATGGATCCTACTGCAAGAGGTCTTGTGGAATTTCCAGCACATTCCATCCTGAAAGGGATGAAAGGAAGGTCCAGAAAGACTGCAGTGGGGCATTAAAAGGATCACTTTCCTCTGCTGGCATACATAAGAACGTGGCAAAAGAGGCCTGGTGGCAACTCACCCCCTTCCCCTTTGCAACTGGCTTCTCACTTTCTGCACACAGACAACTGCTGGATCACATCATGTCAGAATCTGCCTACAAACCAAATTGGTTTACAGAGCTCAAGAGGTCTGTGGCGTCCTTGTTGCCACCCACGTCATACTTGAACCCAGACAGCCTTGCGCTGGGTGAGAAAGGTGGGTGACATACCGCCTAATATGATATACAAGCTAATGTATCTTCTAGGTATGGGTTACCGAGGTCTTGGAACCCGTCACCACGTCCTTTACCAAGTGTTATTGGCGCCATTAGCAAGAGGCGCAATGCAAGCCACAGATGATCCAGAGACAAAGAGCACAATTGAGGACCTCCTTTCTAAAACAGCCGATGCATCTTGGTACCATGCAATGGGTGCTGCGTCCTCCAGGCAACTCCAAGGGGTCTTGGACCCAACCTCCCCTTCAATTGAACCCAAACATCAGGCCGACAAAGAAGAAGGGCCCCTGGGCATGTTTACCAAGTTCAAAAACCTTGTGCTCCAGGTCCACAAGGACAAGGCGGCTATCTCCAATGGCTCAAATGACGGGGGCATGCACAGCCAGGGTACAATTGGTCAGAGTCAAGATTGGACAAAGGCTCGCCTTGCTAGCAGAGAGGATGATTGCAGAGCAGCATGGCGATCTGACTGTTGAGTATGTTGAAATTGGCGGTGACCCTCAACTGTATCTACTGCTTATGTCTACAGGGAGAAGGAATTTCTGAACCATTGGGACAAGGTCTACCGGATTGGCAGACCGCTCATTGACATTGCTTGGACAGCTGCATTCACAGCTGCCCACTCAGCAGCTTCCCATTTGTGTGGTGTTCCTGCCATTCCCTGGGAATCTACTGCTGGAATGCTGCTGGGGGTGGCGGCAGCCCAGGGCGGGGGACCCTTGCTGTCAATACCGCAATCTCTCCTGGGTGGACCCTGGACAAAGTATAAAACAGAAGTACCCAGTCAACCAACAACTTCCAACCAAGATTGTGGCCAATCAAAAGCGACATCACAGGATACAGGATTTATCAGCAGCGCCTCAAGGGCCCTTTCATCTCTAGGATCCAAGATACAAAGTTTTTTTGCCAGGGGCTGTACAATGGAGACCCAAGTCACAAACACCGCTTCTCAGTCGCAGGGCACGACATCATTGGTGCAAGATTTGCCCTCAGCAGTCAACACTGCCAACCCTCAAGATCCCAATCAGAGCCAAACTGACACCATGTCAACCGCATCTTGTGAGAACTCAGCTACTACTGAGAAGCCAGGCACAACTTCAGGCAACAACCATTATGCCGGATGACACAAATCTTCCAAAGCCCCCTGTCCTCTATGACCCCCTGCCTCAGCTTGTTGACTACTTCTCCTCCTCTGTGTATATTTGACTATGTTGTGATCTACTCCTTCCATCTGTACAAGTCTCCCCATTCATCACATGCTTGTTCATCTGATACCCTATTTTGCTTCAATCTGCTCACATTTGTATTTTAGAACTTCTGCTCTGATTTGTGCATAACATGCATTTGGGATTGACAAAAATGCGGCCGCGGTCTGTCACATCACTCTGTCAGAGTCGTGCGGCGACCCTGTCCCAATTTGCCCTAGTCTAGGCAAGCTTCTTTGATGCTGTGATCAGGTACACTCTATCCATAAGGATGTCCTCGATGTTCTTCATCAAGCGACTGTTCCAGGCCTGTTGCACTCCCACTTAGCTGTTCTTAAGCTACCTTCATGGGTCAAAGGCGCTGGTTGGTGATTTCTCGTAGGATAGCCGAGAGCTTCTTGCGGCCGGCTATCGAGGGATAAGGTTGGTCTAATGTATGCAGAGATATGGCTAGCTACTACGTATGTGACTTCAATCGAGAATCGCCAAGGAACCCTCGGATCGTGCTACCCCTTTCCTTCTTAGTCGGAGGTCGCCGGTCAGAGGCTCGACTCTGACACACTCCGCTCTATGCAAGTTTGCCGTGACCCCAGGGAGATGCACTGGGGAGCAAAGGAAGATGAGCTGAGGAGCAAACAAAGTACGCTCTGCAGGGAAGGAAGGAGATCAGTGATACCATAATGAGATTGCTCACAAGGGAGCTAAGAGAGAGGGCTGTAGTCCAGAGAGGTGTCACGTCACTCCGCTCGATGCGAGAACTGCCGTGACCCCAAGGAGGTGCACTGAAGAGTGAAGGAAGATGAGCTGACGGGCAGTCAAAGTGCGCTCGGCAGAGGAGGACTAAGATTGCTAGTAGCAATCCTCCTCTGTGTATATTTGACTATGTTGTGATCTACTCCTTCCATCTGTACAAGTCTCCCCATTCATCACATGCTTGTTCATCTGATACCCTATATTGCTTCAATCTGCTCACATTTGTATTTTAGAACTTCTGCTCTGATTTGTGCATAACATGCATTTGGGATTGACAAAAATGCGGCCGCGGTCTGTCACATCACTCTGTCAGAGTCGTGCGGCAACCCTGTCCCAATTTGCCCTAGTCTAGGCTAGCTTCTTTGATGCTGTGATCAGGTACACTCTATCCATAAGGATGTCCTCGATGTTCTTCATCAAGCGACTGTTTCAGGCCCGTCGCACTCCCACTTAGCTGTACTTAAGCTACCTTCGTGGGGCTAAGGCGCTGATCGATGACTTTGTCGTAAGATAGCCGAGAGCTTCTTGCGGCCGGCTATCGAGGGATAAGGTCGTCTAACGTATGCAGAGAGTTACTACGTATGAGACTTCAATCGAGAATCGCCAAGGAACCCTCTCTCACTGCCACCTTCCCTCTTATATGTCCGTCCGCTCCCTCGTCTCGACTTCTTCCTAACTTCCTACTCTTTCCAGCAGGTTCCTTGACGTTCTTGCTTCTAGACCTCTACCGCCAAGCTTAGTCATCCTTCACCGATCACTACGTCACACCTCGCTGACCGTCGTCCTTCGTCGCTTCCGGAAGATTCCACCTTCAGGGTTTGCTGCAGGGCATCGTTGGCCTTCGCCGCCTTTACTCAGAACTCGCCGTAGGTAGTCGGAGGTCGCCGGTCAGAGGCTCGACTCTGACAAAATCTTCCGGAAGCGACGAAGGACGACGGTCAGCGAGGTGTGACGTAATGATCAGTGAAGGATGACTAAGCTTGGCGGTAGAGGTCTAGAAGCAAGAACGTCAAGGAACCTGCTGGAAAGAGTAGGAAGTTAGGAAGAAGTCGAGACGAGGGAGCGGACGGACATATAAGAGGGAAGGTGGCAGTGAGAGAGGGTTCCTTGGCGATTCTCGATTGAAGTCTCATACGTAGTAACTCTCTGCATACGTTAGACGACCTTATCCCTCGATAGCCGGCCGCAAGAAGCTCTCGGCTATCTTACGACAAAGTCATCGATCAGCGCCTTAGCCCCACGAAGGTAGCTTAAGTACAGCTAAGTGGGAGTGCGACGGGCCTGAAACAGTCGCTCGACAAAGAACGTCGAGGACATCCCTGTGGTTAGAGCGTACCTGATCACAGCATCGAAGAAGCTAGCCTAGACTAGGGCAAATCGGGATAGGGTCGCCGCACGACTCTGACACTTAGACCGACCTTATCCTCGATAGCCGGCCGCAAGAAGCTCTCGGCTATCCTACGACAAAGTCACCGACTAGCGCCTTTGACCCATGAAGGTAGCTTAAGTACAGCTAAGTGGGAGTGCGACGGGCCTGAAACAGTCGCTCGACAAAGAACGTCGAGGACATCCCTGTGGTTAGAGCGTACCTGATCGCAGCATCAAAGAAGCTAGCCTAGACTAGGGCAAATCGGGATAGGGTCGCCGCACGACTCTGACACTTAGACCGACCTTATCCTCGATAGCCGGCCGCAAGAAGCTCTCGGCTATCCTACGACAAAGTCACCGACTAGCGCCTTTGACCCATGAAGGTAGCTTAAGTACAGCTAAGTGGGAGTGCGACGGGCCTGAAACAGTCGCTCGACAAAGAACGTCGAGGACATCCCTGTGGTTAGAGCGTACCTGATCACAGCATCGAAGAAGCTAGCCTAGACTAGGGCAAATCGGGATAGGGTCGCCGCACGACTCTGACACTTAGACCGACCTTATCCTCGATAGCCGGCCGCAAGAAGCTCTCGGCTATCCTACGACAAAGTCACCGACTAGCGCCTTTGACCCATGAAGGTAGCTTAAGTACAGCTAAGTGGGAGTGCGACGGGCCTGAAACAGTTGCTCGACAAAGAACGTGGAGGACATCCTTGTGGTTAGAGCGTACCTGATCGCAGCATCAAAGAAGCTAGCCTAGACTAGGGCAAAACGGGATAGGGTCGCCACACAATTCTGACAATTGTGACAGTTGATGAAGTTGGGATAAGCTGAAGTCCTAAGATATAGCAGCAGCCTCCACCCTAGATCAAAGTAAAGCTTTTGTCATCTTAGGTCAATCACCAATCATGATGTCATGGGCTGAGGTAAGATCCCTTGTTTGAATCCATCCTTTCTATGGGACAGAGACAAAGGAGCTAG